GGCCATGATGCCGGAGACCGACTTCCAGGAGGCCAGCGTCACTGTTGGGATCGTGCCAGCAGTGCCAGTCCGTCAGTGCCTGGCCCATTCTCCGGAGATTGGACCTGCAAGACTACTGAGGGAGTGAGTGGCTGCCGCAGGGCTGGTGGGCCACCTGGACGGTTGATCAGCTGAATGGCACTCCCACTGTGGGAGCGCACTGACCATCAGGGGGCAGCTCCTGCACTGAGCATCTTCCCCCTGGTGGTTAGTGCATGTCATAGCGACTGGTCGACTGGTCAGGTCATTTGGTTGTTCAGTCGCTTAAGCTTTTAGATAGATAGATAGATAGACAGATAGACAGACAGACAGACAGACATAGCATATCTATATGCACACATAATTGCTATGCATGTCATAAACCTAAATATTAGGCATCTAAGTTGGCATTTTTCTTTGTGCTCTCTTCATACTCCATATTTCCTTATTAAACACTAGAGGTCCGGTGCACAAAATTCGTGCACGGGCGGGGGGGGCGGTCCCTCAGCCCGACCTGCACCCTCTCCAATCCAGGAGCCCTGACGGCTTGATTTGATGAACCTCCCCGTGGTTCTCTGCTCTCTACAGGGCCTGGCTGCTCCACGCCCACTGCCCAGAGGCTCTCGGCGGCTCAGAGGCCCTCCACAGCCTGGGCAAGACGCTTGCCTCGTCGCCACGGCGACGAAGCAAGCATTCAACCAGGCCACTCATGCTGCCCGCTCTCAGCAGCCATCCTCACAGGACTGAGGGACTCTGGCGGGGCTGAGGGAACTTGGCACCGCCATCTTGTGGCTATGGGCGCCGCCATATTTGTGACCAAGTGATGGTTAATTTGCATATTACCCTTTTATTAGATAGGATAATCTAATTTTAGAAATTAAATTTTAAAACTTAAAAACTTATCTTTTCCATATCCTATTAGCACAATATTTTGATCTGTGCCAGGAAATACTTTAGTATTCAATAAGGACTGATCTGATTCCCACTTGGACAGATCTTGTCTAGCTTTCCCTGGCCACACTAATGCCCCATGTCTCTCCTTCTGTCATCTAAATTTTGACTGTGTAAGATCATTTCAAGCCCCATCTCTTCTCTGAAGTCTTTTCAGATATTCTCTCTCTAATTCCCATTTCACTTATAGACAGTACCGTATAACACAGTGCTTATTTGTTCTCAAATTGTTTCCTGTGTATTAGCTTTGGCTCCTCAACTGGATGTTAAATTCCTTATATACTCATACCGTGTCTCACCTTTCCGTTTTGTTTCTCCCCCACCCCCCAGCCCCACCCCACATTGCTTCTAAGACTGCCCGGATGCCAAGTGTTGAATAAATACTTGATTACAGACTGACAGATGTACTTCAAATAGTATGACTGTAATATAATAGGAGCTTTCTGAAAATTGTGATTTATTCATTAAAAGAATGAACTGAATCTAGTGATGGAAACTTTTATGTTGAGGAAAAGACAAAACTCATTTTAATAAATCGGTTATTTAGTACCCATCATTTCAATTCAATTAGTTTGAAACTGCATTTTCCACACAAAACTCCAGATGTTAGCCCAGTGTGGCTCACTTGGTTGAATGTCATCCCATGCACCAAAGGTTGCCAGTTCAATTCCCTGCCCAGGTAGGGGGCATGCAGGAGGCAGCCCATCAATGCTTCTCTCTTATGGATGTTTCATTCTCTCTCCCTCTCCCTTCCTCTCTCTAAAAAAAAAAAAAAAAAAAAAAAATCAATAAAAACATATTTTAAAAATATGTATCTATTACAAATCATTTTTAAATAATGTGAACTTTTAAAAATTAATGTGAATTATAGAATAAGGATAAATTTACAAAGTTCCAAGTATTACTGTGAGGCCAAAACAACACCATACCACAACTACAACTATGTGCCAGGCACCATTCTAAGCACTTTCTATATCATGTCTCATTTAATCCCCACAACAACCCTATGAGGTGGGGACTATTATTATCCCCAACTGAAGATTAGGAAACCAAGGCATAGAAAAGTTAAGCAATTTTCCCAAAGTCGCACAGCTAGTAAATTGTAAGATTTAAACCCAGGTGGTTTGAAGTCAACAAGAAAAAGAACTAGAAAAAAGAAACAGGCGTTTCCCTTCATGAGTTTATGCTCAGTATTCAAGTCCATGAAATCTTGAAATTAAGAAGTCTTCTTATCATTACTGTAAAATGGTGACCAAATATTTTAAAAATCAAATAAGATCCACACCAGAAAGAAGGCCTTATACCACCAGTGTGTGGTGTCTGCATCATTAAGGACTTTAGAAGATGTTATATTATAGCATGTGTCTTTTGTGTAAAATCTGATATAGGAAGGAAACGCTGACTGACTTGGACTCAAACTTTCATAAATGTTTTTTAAATGGGAGGTATGTTGGTTTCTACTCAACAGCATGGAAATCCTCCCACAGTTTACATTTGTCATTTAATTAATTTCTAACATAAGCTGTAAATTGTAAAAACTATATACTAAAGCAAAAGAATTATGTGTGACCCGGCCAGCATAACTCAGTGGTTAAGCATCAACCTATGAACCAAGAAGTCATGGTTCAATTCCCAGTCAAGGCACATGTCCAGGTTGCGGGCTCAATCCCCAGTGTGGGGAGTGCCGGAGACAGCCAATCAATGATTCTTTCTCATCACTGATGTTTCTATCTCTCTCTCCCTCTCCCTTCCTCTCTGAAATTAATATATACATACATATATTTTTATTTATTTATTTATTTTTTAAAGAATGCCCTAGCTGGTTTTGCTCAGTGAATAAAGCGTTGGACTGTGGACTGGAAGGTCCTGGGTTCGATTCTGGTCAAGGGCACATGCTCGGATTGTGGGCTCGATCCCCAGTAGGGGGGTGTGCAAGAGACAGCTGATTAATGATACTCTCTCATCACTGATGTTTCTATCTCTCTCCCTCTCTTTTCCTCTCTGAAATCAATAAAAATATTTTTAAAAGAATTATGTGTGTCTCAACTCAATTGTTATAAAAATTAAAATATCAAGTGGCTTTGAAATTATAACTGCTAAATTGTTTTGGGATATGAACAGTTATGGTCAATTTTTCAGAGCATCAAATCAAGGAATATTTGAAGTAAAGGAAATCCATCCAATACAAATCAAGTAAAGGAAATGTCACACTACTCAAAATTGGCATAAGATATTTTTAAATGGGAAGGATACATATAAAAAGAATTGACAAAATTATGGAAGGTCATTTCATTTTAAACAAATGATTGTTATCTACACTTCTGTGCCATTGACAGAATCAGTAAAATGCATCTAGAAGAAGGAGTATAATGCTTTTATCCGTTTAATATATCCCACAGTATATGCAGAGAAGTATGACTATAACTGCTAACCATGAAATTAAACTGTTACAAGCATTACAAATAAACAACAGGACCATATTTTTAGTCTATTCAAAATTAATCCTCCTCCTGTGTAGACTAAAAAGACAATAACAGAACTACAAGAGACTGACTAAACAGTTGAAAGATTTATTATGGAAATGTAAAGATTCTTTATAACCTAGCATGACAGTATTTTTTAACCCAAGTTGTGAAACTTATCAAGTTTGATTATGCTCCTTTGATTTTAAAAAGTTCCTTCAAAAATTATTTGGCAATAGTAGAATCCAAGGTATGAATAACACATGGTAAAAATGGTAATAAGCTTTCAAACTCGCTATAAGCAAAATCACCACAAAAGTAAGCAAGAGTAACATATTATCCTAAAGAAGAAATATATATGCACCTAAAAGAGCAATATAACCTGTTTAGTGTGTGTGTGTGTGTGTGTAACTACAAGGTACTCAAGGTAAACTCCTCAAAGTGATGATGGTAGATATTTTAATCCTTTGTGTCCAATATAGCATTCTAGTCTACAATACACAAAATAGCATTTAATTTCATTTTATTACTAAACTCCAGCCATATAAAACAAAATTAAATAGAAAAAATATTTTACTTTAAAATATTTTATTTTAATAGCTATATTTTAGTAATGAAATAAAATATATTTTAAATATAGACATAAATAATATGAATATATGCAATAATATAATTAAAATATATTTCATATTCATCTCAATATTTAAAATTTTGAAAACTAGAAATAAATAAAATTTGTAACAATAACAGAACATCCATTGTGGTACAATAAAATTATGTGATCATTAAAATATGATGAAAAATGTTTCATAGCATGGAGAAATCCTTGTTATAATGTTAGTGGATAAAAAGCAAGAATCAACAAGTACATATAATATCCTCCCAAACATGTCTTCAAAAATATGTATAGGAAAAAGACTGAAGATTAATATGCCAAACATTAACAGTGTTACCATTGGAGACAGAATTATAAATGAGTTTCCTATAATTTAAAAAACTTTTACAACCTTTATAATTGTCTATGGGCACCTTTAAAACATTATTCTATTATGGATCAAGTGAAAAACTACAGAATTTTCACATGGTTTGTATCAGAAGCCACCCTTTAAAGAAGTAATTTCTCTTACATAATTTGAACTATTAACATAAAAGGATGCTTCTTGGTTTGCATAATTTAGCTACTCACATAACAGTACACATTTTAATAAAACATTTTAAAATTACATTTCATCTCAATTAAAATTTAAATTGCCATAATAAAGCTATCACTTATGTATGCTATGAAACACAGTCAATAGCAATTACAACAAAATTTCAAATATCTATTTTTAGTATATTTGAAATAGAGTCTATGGCAATACACATATTCAATCACAAGTATCCATAAAACTGCAAGAAGACACTATTCAAGTAAAGACCCAATGCACCTTAATTTTCTCTGAGCCAAAGGTACTTTAAAATAATACAAGATTAGTTTTTTAGGCAATGTGACTAAAATGTCAAAGTTAAAATCTTAAATAAAACCTGAAATACTGTTGTGAAAAAGAACAGCATAATTCACTGTCTTACCGAAGACAGTTCATCACATCCCAGTAACGTGTAGTAGTCTTCGGTGTCTTCCAACCTGTAATTCAGTATCGCGTCCATTTAGATCACTAAATCAACTCTTCTTGCCCTGAAACAAGAGGCACGATGAGCTGCAAATGAACAGGAAAAGCCTTTTAAATCTGGTTTACAGCAGCATGTTCCAACCTGCACTAACAAGGTTTAAGGCTGGACACAGCCAATACACACACCAGATGTCATCCAAGACCTGTGTAAACTACCTTTCATTGGCTGTTTACAGAAGAAAAAAATAATAGACCCTAGCAAACTGTTGCAGTGCTGCCTGGGACTTGTAGTTTGAGTTTATATAAGTGATGCAGATTAACCACTCTCTTCTGGATAAACAAAGACTGTCCATTTTTACACACTCCCCAAGTGAACCATCTCTCCATCTCCTATATTTTTTTTTCTTTTTCCTTCTTTTTAAATGATAAAAGAAAAATTTGAAGCAATATGCTAAAATCTTAGAATTTGTTAGATATGAATAGTGGGTGGTTTCCTGTGAACTTAGAAAATTTCAAAAAAATTTTAAATAGAAAAAAAGAAAATAGACTCAGAAAGCAAATTTTCATTCATTTGATCATTTACTCATTCAACAAATATTTATTAAGGACCTATTTCATGCCCAGCATGAAGGTAGGAAAGGTATGCTAAATAACTCTGGGTTCTTAGGGAGCTTACATTCTGATGGAGGGAGGCAAACAAATAAAACCATTTAAAATCGTGAAATAAGATAGGAAAGTGAGAAAAATAACTCTATGATGATAGGGTGGATTTGCTGTACCATTTCTCCTGGGCTGGCTCTCTCCAGACTCAAGAATGTGTCTGGTCTGGAGTGGATGCAGGGAACCTGTGTTTCAGCTCACCATGGCCCTAGGAAATGCAGGTCAGGTCTAGGATTTAGAGAAGATGAGTGGTGAGGTATACAAAACTGTAACTGCCTTAACCCTTTAAATGCCCCCATAAATATCACCTTGGAAAAAATACTTTTTCACTGAGCTCACCTATATACATCTTTTTTAAAGCTTATTTCTGAAGAGAAATAAAGTAGTGAGGCACCATTTTCACCAATCCTTCACTATATATCCTCTTTTGCTAAAAGTTCTGTATGGAACTTATAAATAAAGTAATTAATTTTGTTTTAGAAATTTCACATCCCTTGAGGTTTTGAAGGCCTACGTGGGTATCACAAAAGCCTAAACAAAATAGCTGAAAATTGTCTTAAAATGATGTAAAGTTGCTGCTATGAAAAACAGGATGGTGATTCCTCAAAAAATTAAATATAGAATTACTCTAAGTCCCAGCAATTGCACTTCTGGGTACACACCCAAAAGATTTGAATGCAGGGACTTGAACAAATATTTGTATACCCATGTTCGTAATACTATTATTCTCAATAGCCAGAAGCAACCCAGTATCCACTGACAGAGGAATAGATAAACAAATGTGGTATATACAGACAATGGAATATTCTTCAGCCTTAACAAGGAAGGAACCCAGCTGGTGTGGCTCAGTGGTTGAGAATCAACCTATGAATCAGAAGGTCACAGTTCAATTCCTCATCAGGCCACATGCCCAGGTTGCAGGCTCAACCCCTACTAGAGGGCCTGTACGAGGTAGCCAATCAATAATTCTCTCATCATTGATGCTGCTATCTCTTTCTCCCTCACCCTTCCTCTCTGAAAAAAAAGAAAAAAAAAGGAAGGAAATTCTAACACATGCTACAACATGGATAAAGTTAAGTGAAGACATTTTGCTAAGTGAAGTAAGTCAGACACAAAAGGACAAATTCTGTATGATTCTACTTATATGAGGTACCTTGAGGAGTCAACTTCATAGAGACAGAAAGAAAAATGGAAATTTCCAGGGACTGTGGGGAGGAGTCAAATGAAGAGTTAGTGTTTAAAAGGCATGAAGTTGCCCTGGCCGGTTTGGCTCAGTGGATAGAGCGTCCGCCTGCGGACTCAGGGGTCCCGGGTTCGATTCTGGTCAGGGGCATGTGCCTCGGTTGCGGGCATATCCCCAGTAGGGAGTGTGCAGGAGGTAGCTGATGGATGTCTCTCTCTCATCGATGTTTCTAGCTCTCTATCTCTCTCCCTTCCTCTCTGTGGGGAATCAATAAAATATATTTAAAAAAATAAAAAATAAAATAAAATAAAAGGCATGAAGTTTTAGTTTGGAAAAATTAGAAAAATTCTGAAGATGGATGGTGGTGATGGTTCCACAACAATGTGAATGTACTCAATTCCACTGAACTGTACACTTAAAATAGTTAAAATGGTAAATGTTATGTTATATATATTTTACCACAGTTAAAAGAAAAGTGATATGAATTCCCTCAAACACTAGACAATATTGATCAGAAAAAGAAAATATTGCTCCTTTATTCTCTATCTTGAGAAGAGTCAGGACAATGCTTTAACGTTCTTCTGAAAAACAAAAAGAAAAGATAATTGTGAAAAGAATTTTGGTAATCACTCACTCATGTTTTATGAAATGCAACTCGAAGCTCCTTTTCCTGAACCACCATATTCTCACATTCTGCAATGTACTATGTAGTCACTGAAAATGATGGACAAACATATTTAATGCCTGGGAAATGTTAGGTGAAAAAAATCAGAAAACAATATGTACTATGTAAAACTTCAGAGTGCTAAGACCTATGCACGTTACTGGGTATAAGTTATATCAAATTCATCTCAATTTTAAAAGTAAAAAATACAAAATTTACATTTTAAAAGTAGGTATGGTATGATTCCAGTTTTATAAATATAAATTGTATGTATACATACATTGTATATCTATAATAATCTATAATAATAAAAGCATAATATGCTAATTAGACCGGACATCCTTCCGGATGTCCTTCTGTCCTTCAGGACGAAGCCAGGGCTGCGAGGGAAGCCCGGGTCCTGGGTGCCTGCCAGTGGCTGGAGGGAAGGAAGGAAGGCCGACTCTTGCATGAATTTCATGCACTGGGCCTCTAGTATATTTATAAAATATGAGAAGGTATATACACCAAAATAGATCAGTTGTCATTAGATAATAGGGCCACAGGTGACTTATATTTTATTCTTTTTACTCATCTACATTTGCTAAGATTAACATATACTATTATTTTAATTTTTAAAAAAAAAACAAGCAATAAAAAAAAAAAGGAAGCAGCCCTGGCTGGTGTTCTCAATGGTTAGAGCACCGGCAGGAGCACACAAGGGTCACAGGTTCAATTCCTGGTACCCATTAATCATGTACCTGGTCCTTTCCTATAGGGTTAACCTACTCAGTAGGATGTGGGTATAGCTGCAGAGAGATGTTTGTTCCTGCTGAAACCATGAAAGTAATTTGATCTCTTAGTTGTTGCCATTTGGGAGCATGGACATGTTAAGAATTTGGAGATCAGCCCAGCTGGTGTGGCTCAGTGGGTGAGCATCAACCTATGAACCAGGAGGTCACAGTTAGACTCCCGGTGGAGAGCATGCAGGAGGCAGCAGATCAGTGCTTCCTTCTCATTGTTGATGTTTCTATCTCTGTTGCCCTCTCCCAGCCTCTTTCTGAAATAACAATAAATAAATAAAATATTTAAAAGAAAATTGGGCCAAGAATATGACTGCTTTCAGGAAAACTAATGGCCAATAAATATCAATAGTAGTGCAAACTTATTCATAATTATGAAACTGCTAATCAAAGAAAGTGGTTCACCTATCAGAGAAGCAAAATTTCTAATGTTTGATATTATCCAATGATAAAGCATAAATGACAAAATAAGCACTTTCATACATTTTTGGATAAGGGTGTGAATTGATACAATTTGGCTATTCGGCGGTATTTATCAGCATGTGTCTCGTTGCCTGGGCAATTCTGTCTCTCTACAAATGAACCCTGAGGATTTACACCAAAATATGTCCCAAGGCAATCATTGAAAATTCTTTGCAACAGAAAAAAACTGGAAGCAGCCAAAATGTCCTTCAGTGGGTGAAGAAGAGGACAGCGGATGAATACATTATGGTATTTACGGAATGTACTACTATCTAGCCATTTTAAAAAGAGTAAGATAGCTTTCTCTGTGCGTCTCTAACTGGATCAAATGGAAAAGGCTGAAGAGCGTATGAAGGCATTATCTTTTTCTGCACTTTTTAATAACACGTACGTCTACACCTATACTCCCCCCCTCCCCTTTTAAAAAGCAGATGTTTTCCTTTTAAGGGTGGGAGCTGGGCAGGTACAGAAACGGGGCTTTTAGTTTATGCCTTAGGAACTCTATCACCATACCACTTTTGTTTTCTTTTTATGCTTTTTGTTTTAAAACAACAGATGTCATTTGTCTTATTTACATAGGTTTCGTTGAAGAAAGCCTTTAAAAATAGTACAAAATAGGTAGTAGGGATCAAGTAAAATTTTTAACCGAATTAAAGGTCTTTGTACCTCAAGTGAGGCGAGTCAGATGCACAACCTCATGCCCAACCAGACGGGAAAAGCCGCCCGTCAGCTCACGCCCCGCCCCGTCCGCGCACACCCCGCCCCCCCCTCACTCCCCCCTCCCCCCGTCCTCTCATTTCCCCCTTCCCCTCCCCCCGCTTTCATTTCCCCTTCCTCCCTCCAGCCCCCGCGCCCCGCCCTCGCATCCCTCCCCCCCAGGTCCGCGCACCCCACGCCCCGTCCGCTCACCCGAAGCACCGCCCACCCAGGTCCACAACTCCCACGAGGCATCGCGAGAACGACGTAAAAAGGGGAACGCGAGACGTTCCAGTTACTTCCGGCCTCCCGGAAACGTCCCTCCGGAAGTGCTTCTTTTTTAAATTCCGTTTGCTAGCGGTCTTCAAGCCGGAAATCAGGACAAGTGAAACACAAGCTCCAACGGAAAGGGGGGAGTCTGGGAGGTCAGAGCCGCCGGTCCCAGGAGCCCGAGCGCGGGCCGGAAGTAGCCCCTCGGCGGGCTCCCCGCGCGCGCAGTCCATCGCGCGCCACTCTCCCGCCTCTGGCTTTCCTTCCCGTCTCTTGCCCTGTTTCTGTCGTGCAAACAGAACCGGCAGCTTTCCTGTGCGGCTCATCGGAACCGAGCTTCCAGGGAGCTAAGCCCGAGTTCCAGCCACTGCCTGCCACCCCTCGCCCTGACATCCCACATGCCGGCCCGCTCCCTGCGCAGGGATCCTGGGAACTGATCCAAGGCCGCGGTTCCGGCCCAGCTACGAACCCGACGCCCGCTCAGAACCCACTGCTCCGTTCCTGCCTCTGATCTGGGGGAAAGAAAACGGGGTCGGCCGGGACTTGACCCTCCCCTGCAGCCTGTCCGTTTGTAAAGCAGCCCAGTGAACCCCTCCCTGGCAGCCGGAGCGGACCAGCATTCTGAGACCAGAGCAGGATATGTCTGAGCAGTCTTACGTCAGACACGATAGGAATGTGTGGTTCTTTCAGGGCTGCTGAGATATTACTTTGAAGTGTTAAGTGCAATAATAAATGCTAGTCATCCCGCCGCGGATAATGTGGTGTGGGGATATTGATAGAGGGGAGGGGGTGGGTATGTGTGGGATGGGGGTATATGAGAACTCTATGCCCAGTGAGTTGCTGTGAACCTAAAACTGCTCTGAAAAATAAGTTTAATAGTTTAAAAAACAATAGTTACAACAGGAAGTAGTTGTAACCCCTTTATTGAGCCCCTACTAGGTGCCTGTGGTAAAGCTAGGATTTGAACTTTGCTGTATCTGCTTCCTAAGCCCATCGTGAAGAAAATGCATTAAAAAAAAAAAATGCTGCATCAGATTATCTGGCCAGAAGTTCGGCATATTAGAAAATTCACTTGGCAATGCCATTCGGAACCCTGATTTCTGCATCAGCCCTTTACTGGTTCCTTGGTGAAAAACAACACATGCCATTTGTCTTATTTACAATTCCTTGATTTGTAAAGGAAGATACCAGGCCAGAGTAATGAATCTCAAACTTAAAGGTGCACACGAATCACCTGGTGATCTGGTTCAGATGCAGCTTCTGCTTCAGGATATCCGGGTGAGGTCTGAGATTCTGCATTTCTGACAAGAACCCCCACCTCTTACTACCACCACCACCACCACCCCCGAAGGTGCAGTCCCTGTTGACCTAGGGACCACACTTGGGGTAGCAAAGTCCTGGATCGCCTGTGAGTTCTTTGCAAACTCTTATATTCTTACCCTGGATTATGCTTCAGAGTTCCACTAAATAACAGTTGCCTTTAAGTCACTATGGGAAGCTTGTGCTTGGACACAGTCTCCAGCACTACCTCATGATGGCCACTAGAGGGACTAGAACCAAAGGAATCATCGAGCTCCTAGGTTCAGTATTTACTTTCCTAGATGACTGCTCAGTACTCCTATTTAAAAAACAAAACACACCCTGCCCAAACTCAGTGCCAAAGGAACTATCAATAACAATGGTAATAAGAAAAATAACTTGAAACTTCACATTCTTTCCCCATGATGGAAGTCCTGAGAGGTAGTGAACATAAGTCAGGCAAGGATCTGGGACACCAGCCACTGCTTATGTTGGCAAGAGAACGAGATCTTTCGGTTTTATGAAGCCTGGTGCTATGATGTGTGGTCTGTAGTAAAAATAATTATAGGCATGAAGAAGTGAAGGTTTCCAGAGACCTCCCCTCACCCTCACCATCAGTTGCGCTCATATTTCAGCACTGCTGCACTGGGGACTTGCTCCTGAAAACATGTTTCAATGTAGCTGCTGCTTCTTTTTTTTTTTTTTTTTTTTTAAATATATTTTATTGATTTTTTACAGAGAGGAAGGGAGAGAGAGAGAGAGAGTTAGAAACATCGATCAGCTGCCTCCTGCACATCTCCCACTGGGGATGTGCCCGCAACCCAGGTACATGCCCTTGACCGGAATCGAACCTGGGACCTTTCAGTCCACAGGCCGACGCTCTATCCACTGAGCCAAACCGCTTCTTATAAGAGTTTACCATTGCGATTACAAAAACATAAGAAATATTGGATTTGAATATCAATCTAACTACTAAATACAGTGACAAACTGGAAAAAATTAAAATTAAAAACAAAAAACTTATTTTAACACATATTTCTTATTTTATGCATTTTAAATACTTCTAAAAATCTAAATCTTGACCTGGCCAGTGTGGCTCAGTGGTTGAGCATCGACTTATGACCCAGGAGGGCAGGGTTTGATTCCTGGTCAGGCAGGGCACATGCTGGGTTTGTGGGCTCAATCCCCAATAGGGGGTGTGCAGGAGGCAGCCAATCAGTGATTCTCTTTCATCACTGATGTATCTCTCTGTCCCTCTCTGAAATCAATACAAATATATATTTTTAAAAATCTAAATCTTACTAGAAGATAGGAAATTAAAGAGTCCTTCTGACCTAATTCCTACTCACAAAATAGCCACTTAATAACATTACTAAGATTATGTGTCCTTCCAGATATTTTCAATCCTATATAATAAAAGGCTGATATGCAAATTGACTGAATGGCAGAACAACTGGTCGCTATGATGCACACTGACCACAAGGGGAAGACGCTCAATGCAGGAACTGCCCCCTGGTGATCAGTGCACTCCCAAGGCTCCTGGACTGTGAGAGGGCGCAGGCCGGGCAGAGGGACTCCCCCCCGCTGCAGTGCACGAATTTTGTGCACCAGGCCTCTAATTTATATATAAACGTGTATTGTTCTGCTGGTGGGAACGCAGACTGGTGCAGCCACTGTGGAGAACAGTATGGAGTTTCCTCAAAAAGTTAAAAATCGAACTCCCATTTGACCCAGTGATCCCACATCTAAGAATATATCCCAAGAAATCAGAAACACCAGTCAGAAAGGACATATGCACCCCTATGTTCACAGCAGCACAATTTATAATAGCTAAGATTTGGAAACAGCCTAAGTGCCCATCAGCAGATGAGTGGATTAAAAAACTGTGGTACACCTACACAACAGAATACTATGCTGCTATAAAAAAAGAACTTTTACCATTTGCAACAGCATGGATGGACCTGGAGAACATTATACTAAGTGAAATAAGCCAGTTGGAGAGATAAATATCACATGATCTCACTCATTTGTGGAATACAATGAACAACATAAACTGATGAACAAAAATAGATCCAGAGACAAAGAAACACCAAATAGACTGTCAAACCTCAGAGAGAAGGCGGGGGGGGGGGGGGGGGGGGGGGGCGGGCGGATAAGAGATCAACCAAATGTTGTATGCATGCATATTAGCATAACCAATGGACACAGACACTGGGGCAGTAGGGGCTTGTCCTGGGGGGTGGGAGTGGCCAGGGAGGAGTCAATGGGGGGGGGGGGAGACATATGTAATACTTTAAACAATAAAATAAAATAAAAATAAATAAACATTTGCATTGTTCTTTTATGTAAATCCTGATTTGTCTCCTGACTACGACTCTGACTTCCTCTCCTACCACTTTCTGTCTTCTGTGCAGACTATATTCCCGATTCTCAAACTTGATAACTTGTTACAGCCTCAGGACTGACTGCCTTACTTTCTGGACATCTCTCTTCTCCCAGGTCCTCCTCATTCCTGTGTCACCTTATATGTTACTTCCTCAGAGAGGCCTTTTGGGACACCCTTCACGTAATGTTATTCCCCAGCCCAAATCACTCCCCATCGCCATGGTTTATTTTCTTCTTTCTTCTGTCACTGAAATTACCTTGTTCATTTATGTACTTGACTACCTACTTACTACTAAAATGTAATCTCCTAATCTCCGGAACAGGATCCTTGACTGCCTCGTTTACCTCATATCCTCAGTATCTAGAACATAAATTAGGAACTCACAAGTATTTGTTCATTGAATACATACATTAAATATACTATTCTGCAACTTATTTTTTCACTCACTGTATCTTCTACAGGTTGTATTTTACTTTGTGTAGATATTTTTATTTCAGTTATGTTCTTAATTTTTTTAATTTAACTTTTTTAGGTTAAATATTCACATGGCTCAAAAATGAAACAATATAATGTAATACTTTAAACAAAAAATAAAAATAAAACAATATAAAGAGGTATTCAGTGAAATGTCTTATATCCACTTCTGTCTACCATCTGCCTAGTTTCCACTCAACCAGGTAGCCATTTTTACTGTATTAGCCTACTGTGTATCTTTCCTTATGCAAATATATATATATCTATATATTCCTATTCTTTCTTTCCTCCCTTTTTGCACAAACAGTAGCTGTGCAATATACTTTTAACAGCTGCATGATATTTGTAATTTATATACATTTATAACTTATTTTACTCCATTCTCTATTGATGAACTTTTGGTTGTTTTAGTTTGGGTTATTACAATCAATGTTGTAAAAATTATTTTTATGCTCGATAAATGTCTGCTAGAATAAATTCCTAGAAGTGGAATGACTAAATCAAAGGTGTGTGTATACTGAATCAGGAAAGATCTTTTCAAACTTCCCTCCAAGTCAGTTACCTCAATTTATACCAACAGTGTACAAGAGTACCAACTTCCCCTGTACCCTTGCCCATGATAAATATTATAGACTTGAATTTGTTCACTAGTCTGATGGCTGAAAAGTAGTTGCTCACTGTTGCTTTTATTTTAATTTCTCTAATTATGAAGTGTAATACCTTTCAAATTTTAAAAATAGCTCTGTTGATACAGAATTCACATACATGTATCCATTTACAGTGTACAACGGCTTGGTTTTA